TTAAATAAACTTCTCGTGTCGTCCGCCTAGGTGTGCATGGCCAAAGGCGGGGGGCTGCGTGGGCGTGGTAGCGCTCTATACATGCCTACATACACACAGGCACTTACATACATAGGTGTGTGTGTGTGTGTACATATGTTAGCCGGGGTCGTGCACGGGAGCACTTACTGCACTTGATTAGAAACGGCGACAGATCAAATTGGATTCACGCTGTGGTGAGACCACAATGGAGCGAGAGGGACACAGGGAGACTGCCGGAGAACAATGTGTAATCTCTTCTCTGCCGCGTGTGTGAATCATGCTCTGGAATGACGAACCCAAAAAAACACATCATCTGCATCTGCATCTGTCATAGAACCGATATGTCAGATGCTTTATGCTATAGTGGACCGATGTGGATGGGTTGAACCGGCGGCTTTCCGTTTGTCAGTCCGATGCGCGGACACCTAAGCCAGACTCATGTTTCATGACGTCTCGTTTGCCTTTTCTTTTCGATTTTTTTTCACAAATATTTTGACCACCGTTTCCACCTACTTGCAGGTCGAATTTTTCAAAGCCCCGTCCAAAAATAACCTGTAACAAATGGAGCTTTCTCTAACTCTAACGGTTCGGGCTCTACGTTGGTTCCCAATCAATCAATAATACATCATGTATTTGTATTTTTTTTTAGTAGTATTTTGGGGGATTACTCGAGACTGGGAGACTCATTGGATCATATTCATAAAAACTATTATCTAACAATTTCAAAGTATCCCCATGTTCTCTGGAAAATTGGGAAATGTACCTAATATTCTAGCTCGACCCTGCATCGGTATAGCTCTAAAGTAAACAAAAAGAAAACTTTTAAAAATGAAATAAAAATCAATTCGAAAAGAATTTAATATTTCTTGGTATGTTCAAATATTTATTGTATAATTTTATAAGCATAAATTTTGAAAAAAAAAATAATAAAAATTAAACATTTTTTGTGTTGTTTTTATATATGGGTATATCAATATACACATATAAGTATATATAATTACGGATATATATACATATATGCATTTATTATATATACATTTATTAGGGCGAAAATCGTGTTTCAATTAATATAAGTAACTAAATAACGAGTTAAAATTATTAGATATAAGTATATAAGATAGCGTATATATAAATATACATATATATTCTGTTTACATATGAATTATGATTTAAAAATTGATTTTTTTTAATTTATATATATCAAAGAAGGGCAAATAAAATATAACTTGTTTCAAAAAAAAAAAAATTGAACAGTTTCCAAAAAAAAAATTGTTTTCCTAAGCATTTTTTAGTGATTTTTTCTTCTTCTCGTTTTATTCCTTTTTTTTGGGATTTCATTGGTTTTTTTAGTGTTTTTTTTTTTGTATTGTTTTAGGTGTATCAATTATTTCAACAACTATGTATACATACGTTAAATATATATATGTGTGTGTGTGTGTGTGTGTGTGTATATAATATATGTGTATAAAAATTGTAAAATAAAAAATCTATAAACGTAAAAGTGTTTATGCAACAAACGCGTGTTGCAAGTTTGTTGTTTTTGTTTTTGTTTTACTTTCTTTTTATATGCGAGGATTTAGAGGTTTTGGTTGTAGTTGTTGTTGTTTTTATTTTTTGTTATTTTGTGTGTTTACTTGGTTAAAAAAAAAAATAAAAAAAAATATATATATATTTAATTAAATTAAATTTAATTATTGTATAAAATGCAGTTTACATTATTTTTCTTTCTTTGTTTTAAGATTAACAAATAAATGAAATTGCTTTTTGTAACTGTTTTTGCTTTTTGTTTTTTTTTTGTTGCTGTTTTTTTTTTTTATAACATTTTTCCATTTTTTTTGTTTTGTTTGTCTGTTTTGTTTTATTGTTGCAGATAAATTTGTACGGTTTTCAAATTGTATTTAAACTCTGTTTTTTGTTTTGTATATGTGTATACTATAGGAAACTAAGTGTTTGTGTGTGTGTGTGTGTGTGTATAATTCAATTTGCATGCGTGTGTGTGTGTTTGTGTGTGTGTGGTGTGTTATGTTGTTCTTGTACAATATTCTGTTGCTTAAGCCTATTGCTCTTTGCGGCGCTTTAGTCCCGAATTTACTGGTATTTTTTCTTCGTCTATTGTATTCTTTCTGTTTCTGAGGCTAGTGTAAATGTATGAAAATATTGGGTATCGTTTTCTTTTTGATTTTGGTTTTTTTCTTCTTTTTTTTTGTTTTTTTTTTTTTTGTTTTTCTTTTTGTCACTAGTGTTTAACGAGATTTCTATTTACAGTGGGTTTTAACAACAACAAAAAATATGTGTTTTTTTTTTTTAAATATAGATTTACAATTTTTTTTTCTCTTTTTGTCTTGTTTTTTTTATAAAAATTGAATTTGTTTTCCATAAATTGCTTAAACACCTGAATAGCATTGAACATATAACAATTTTTTTTTGTTTAATATTTTAATATCGAGTTAAATAAAATGTATAAGTATATAGTATATATATATATATATGTGTGTATATATATATGTAAAAAATATTAAAAAAAAATATATGTGCATACAATATAGAATTGTATAATGTATATATATATATATATATATATATCAGGGAGGGGTAGGGGGAGGGGGAGGGCTGCGACAAGTGCGCAGTTGCTTAAGTATATATTTTCTGTATTATAGTATTTATTTGTTGTTTATATTTGATATTTGTTAATCATGTTCAAAAATATGCTTGTCTATATATACAACTATGTTCAACGCGTTTGCAAGCCCTGTTAGAAAAATAGAAAATTGTCCCAGCAATTCTTGTATGTGTAAATTAAGCATAAGTAGTTAGGAACCCAGATGTACCAGGTAGAACATCAAGTAGCAAAAAATTCAATACATATAAATATAGAATATTATAATAAAATATATATCTAGATATATATATTTGAAGAACAATTTGTTGAATATTCCATGAGCGCTATTTGCCAAAAAAAAAAAAAAAAAAACATGTGCCCATAAAAAAAGCTACTTACGCACTAATTTCGTTGAAACGTCGCTATAAATCGATCATATCATATATATTAACATATATATATATATATATATATATATATATGTGTGTGTGTGTATAACTCTAGTTAGTTGTACTAGCTTCCTAATAGTTTCTAGTTAGTGTGTGTTTCTTCTGCTGTTGTTGTTGTCGTCGTTTATCAAAAACAAAGCAAATTAAACCTAAATAACAGTTTTCGCATCAAGTTGTTTTTTTCTTTCTTTCTTTTTTAAATATTTGACTTCATTTTTTGTTTGTATTCTTTCGATACCAACATATCAAAGTATTTTAATAGTATTTATTGTAAGTATTCTATTGTATTGTATCGTGTATATATATATATATATAAATATATATATATATATAACAGTAACTAGCGCTTGCATTCCTCTCCATGCTTACACATGCATATATCTACATATGTATATATATATATATATATATATATATATATATATATATATATATATATATATATATATATATATATATATATATATATATATATATATATATATATATATATATATATATATATATATATATATATATATATATATGTATAGCTCTTATTAGCAAAAAAAATCGACAGTTGAACAGCTGACAAAGTTTGCTTCGGCTCAAAAAACATTCGCAAACTAAGCAGCCAAAAATTTTACATTTTCTTGTTATTCCTCTATTTCTTTCCTTCTTTCTTTCTTCTTTTCTATTTCTTTCGTAGTATATCTAACAATGTAATTCTATTGCTCCTATTTTTCTTGTGCTTCTAATTTTTAATGGTTTTCGTTCATCCTCGTCTTCTTCTTGCTCCTCTTGCTTTCGTTCTCGATTTCGTGCATTTCATATGCATAGTTAGAAATTTGTTAAAGAGATATCCTAAGCATATATATAGCATATACATATAGCATATATGTATAAAGTATGTGATAGGGTGAGGGAGGAGGGGTTGCATGTACAGACAACAAAAAAAAAGAAGCAAAAAAATACATCTTAATAATTTCTAAGTTTGTATAAAAATGTACATGTTCATTATGTAAAATTGAAAAGGGTTTCTATATATCTATATAATTCTTTATATCCAAAATATTTATGGAGAAATAAAAAACAAAAAACTCGAATAAACCGCATCGTGTTTCTATATAGGCAGTAAAAATTGTTTAAGCGCATTTTGCGTATGTCTAGGAAAGCTATTGCACCGATATTGCGGCCGATAACAGTTATCGCTGTTATCGATCTATCAATACTCAGTGAATTTGTAACGTTTTTGAGACGTTGTCGTCGTCGTTCTGCTAGCTAAGGATAATATATACATACAAACATATATATATATATTATATATATATTTTGTATTATTTATACTATATATATATATATATATATATATATATGAATATATACTCTTGTCGTTGTTGATCTTGAAAAATAACTATACAGCTAATTGTATAAAAAGATATAAGTGTATGTATATATATGTATATATATATTTAGATCTATATATGTGTATACACTATGCATATATGCCTAAAGTAACTCTATTTTACTTAATATGTATAAATAGTTTTTCTTTTCTTTTATAGTGTTTGCATTTCATTTGCTCTCATTTTGGCGCTGCTTCAAAAATCGCGCTCAACTCTACTCCTCTTATTCCGTCTCTTCTTCTTCCTCTTCCTCTTCTAATAATTGCGATCTTTAGCTATATTTTGAAGCTATCGCTGCTTGTTTTGACTCTTATATTCGCTCTTCTCTCCTTCTCTCTCTCTCTCTGACTTTCAGCGCGGACGCGTTCGCTTCATTCGCACAAAATGGCGACCATGCTGCCAGCTCTCTCTCTCTCTCTTTCTAACCGCCTGCACTCCCATTTCGCGTATATCCTTCTCTTTTGTATAACATGTTCGTGTTGTTTTATTTTTTCTTTCTAGTGGCTCGTTCGTTGCAACTTTGTCTGTTTTCCGTTTCCGTTTCCGTTTTTCTTGTTTTTTTTTTTGGTTTTTTTGTTTTGTTTTTTTGTTTTGTTTTTGTGTTTTTTTGTGTTTTCTCCGTTTGTTTGTCTTGTCCTTGTTGTTCTTTTGTTATTCTTATTCATTTCATGGTTAAGTAAATAGAAACTAAATTCCTAAGCATATGTACAAAATAGGATAAGAAAAGAGGATTTGCTTGGGGCAAAGGATTGAAAAAAAAACCATTTCCGCGTTTCCCTCCTAATTCTACTTAATTATCAACATTTCGTTTATAGTTTTTGCTTCCAACTTGCATTTTGCTTGCTTCAAAATCAAATCAAAAAATATCACATTAAAGAAATCCAATTTAAATCACTATCTTACAGATACACCTATACATATATACATATCTACATATATATATATATATATATATACACATATTCATATATATATATATACACATATGCTTACATATATATAGTTATATATGAACTATATAGAGCAGTATATAAAGCCAAAGCTCTGAAAGCTTTCACAAAAGCATGTCTAGTAACATGTATGGGTAGGTTATATATGGTATTATCTGTTTTTTTTTTTTTTAACTATTCTATTCGACGATCGTTTGTTTATAGCATCCGTTGCATAGATGTGTTTTAAGCAGCATATATAAAAAAAAAACAAAAAAAATTGTACATCTAACAGCATCGTCATCTTTATCTTTATCATTATCATTATCATTGTTGTTATCATTATTATTTTTATTTGTATTATCATTATTGTTATTATCAACATCGAGACTTGGTTCGATCGATCGTTCGTACGCTCTACTGGCTAATACTAAAAACTGATATTGAAGTTCAAAAATGCTTCTGTGAGCCTACGTCAAAATACACTAAAAAGAATTATCGTGTAACTTTTGTGTGTAACACTTTTTCATATGGTCATCAATTCGGTTATTTTGCCTTTCTTTTGTTTTTCAATATATTAATCTTGGCCGGGATCGCTTGCAAACGCGTTGTAACCTTATGTCCCTCCCCCCCTTGTTCTGCCCGCCTTTCCCCAACCATATCCACAATGATGATCCCCCCCGCTTACCCTTTACCCACCACTTACGGCTATCGCTATCATCATTCAGCTGCATTCTTACTCAGGCGCAGGCGGGCGAGGAGCTCCTGCTGCTGCTTGAGCTTCGCCTTCAGGAGCTGGCGCTTGAGGCTGAGGTCGCGCTCCTCGCTGGTGAGATGCTCGCAAAGCTTGGCCGCCTCGCGCAATATGTTGACCTTGGGCGCACGCTCCTTGTCCCGTATGTTGGGTATCTGCGTCTTCAGCGCCTCGAACAGATTCTTGAGCCCGATGCGCCGCTGACGCTCCATATCGTTATGCAGATTGCGCTTCTCAATCGTGTCCGCCTCGTCTATGCTGAGCTGGCGCTTTAGCATGTTGCTGCTGTTGTTGGTGTATTTGTTGGTGATGGCGTTTACAGTGGGACTCGGATTCGCGATGCCAGAGCCGGTGACGGTGCCGGTGCCAGTGCCGGGGCCGGAGCCGGAGCCGCCTGTGACAATGGAGTCGAGCAGGCTCTTGTCATCCAAATCATGGAACTTAGACGGCCGCTGGACGTAGCCAGCGTTCACCTTCTTCACGCGACTCTTCTTCGCTGCGACCAGGCTGATCATATTGCTGCGCTTGTTCGAATACATCCTCGACGTGCAGTCGGACATGTAGTAGGGCTTACGGCCTTTGCCATCCAACATCGTTGCGGGCGGCGTTGTGCAATCGCTGATGATGCTACTGCTACTGCTACTGCTACTGCTGCTACTGCTGCTGCTCTGGGAGAGGCTTTCGGGCGAGTAGCTGGCCGGCACAGCGCCAGCGCCCTGATAGGGCGTGCTCGACGGCGAGGCGTAGCGCGAATTGACTACGGACTTAACTGGACTGCTGCTGGCCGGCGTATAGGGTAGATCGAACCGTTTGGATTGTAGGATTCGGGCATCACTCGAGATTTTGTAGGCGATATTCGTTTGTAGAGCGCGTCGATCACGATCCGACGGATTTGTCGGCAATTTCTTGTCATTGAGCGAGACAACGTCAATTTCCTCATCTGTAGCGAGAACGAGAGTCAAATAAGACGAGATCTAATTAGTAACGAGCAGCGAGTGACGAGTAATTTTAATTTGAATGAAAAAGAGAATCCCTTCAAATTAAAATAACGAGATAAAAATAGTAACGAGTTGATTTGAAAAAGTAGCGAGTAGCTGGACGAGTGTCTTGCAACGAATTAAGAGCAACGAGTGGCCAGTAACAAGTTCACAACAAATATTATAATACTATACACTATTACACAAACCCCGCAAATGTCTAGCGAATGTCAACGACAGTTCAATGACTAGCCAAAGCATAGCAACACGATGATGTCATTGTGTGTGTTTACGTGTGTGGGTGCGTATGTGTATTGCGTGGGTGGGTGGCTATGCACGGAGGGGGACAGGAGGCGGGCGATATGTCCCACGCAAAGCGGATTACTCTGTCAACGTTGCGAGCCAAGTGGCCCGACGCCACTTGCAACAGTATCAGAATTCAGGAAGCAATAGATTTGTGCACAGACAACGAAAATCGAGAAAACGCAACCCCCAACCCTCCTCCCATCCGCGCCTTAAACTGACTTTTGACGTCAGACGCCGCAGGGGCTGGGGGAGTTTGGTTTTCTGAGCGCCTTTTGCGTGGTTTGCGCAACGCACTTTGCAAAAGCAAGAACAACAATTATCACAAGTAAAGCGTGAAGGCAAGGCCGCCGATAACGGTTTTACGCAAATCTGCCTTTTTTGCATACAGAAAGAGCAAGCGAGAGAGAGAGAGAGAGAGAGAGAGAGAGAGAGAGAGAGAGAGAGAGAGAGAGATAGAGAGATAGAGCGCAGTCTACACTTCCTCTGCTGCGATCTCTGGCCACCCCCGACCACCGCGGGGGGTTTCGGCTTCCGTTGCTAATCTGGCTCTTCCGTTGGCGCGCGCGTCCATTGAACCAAGTGACGTCGACGCCGACGCAGACGCCGCAGTTGTTGCAATCAAATGTAGGGCCCAGCCCCATTTTTAATGCCTTTAATCAAATTACAAAAACTGCCCAAAAATAACAAAGCGAAAAAAAGAAAACGCGAAATTAAGAAACTTTTGCTACAGCTTATCAAGCTGCTACTAATCCCCTGCGCCTCTCGTCACACCCACAATCAGTCCCAGAAGAATATTTGCACAAATGCTGATTACACATGTATGTATGTGTATATATGTCTATGCATGTTTGTGTGTATTCGCCGTTCGCCTTGGCAACTGTGCAAGCGAGCATAAGGCAAAGATCAAGAGAGAGGAAGTGGCAGGCAGTCGAGAAGAGCGAAGAGGCGAGTTGTCTGGCCACAAAGAGGTCGTAGACTGCGCGCAAAAAGCCCAAATAATAAAATAAAACCAAATGGAAGAGCTTCAAAGTTTAAGCTGCAAACCTTCAAGTTCCGCGCTCGATATTTCAAGTCCAAGTCCAAGTCCAAGTCCAAGTGCAGTGCAGCAGAGCGAGCGACCGCAGTGAACGAAATCGAAATCGAAACCAGGTGAAAGAGAAGAGGCAAGAGCGAGAGGCAACTGAAGAGAGCCAGTGGCAGCCAAGCGTTGCCCCAGTGGGCAACCACCTTTGGCAACATGTTGCATGAGTCAATTGCGGCGAAGCGTTGCATTATCAATACACGTTTTGCTGCAAAGTTGAACAAAAAAAGTCACCCAACCACCACCGAACGTGATGATGAACATCATCATGCTGTTGGCTAGACAAGCAGCAGACCTTACCCGAGAAGAATGTTGCCCAACGGCCATTTTTTTTTTTTTTTTTTTTTGGTTCCTTTATTTGGAGCCGCAGCAACATCAGTTGGAATGTGGCCGCAGCAATAATGTCCCTCTTCATGTTGCTGACACAGCACAAAATGTTGCTGTGCACTTTTGGTATTTTTTTTTTCTTTTTTTTTTAAAGATGCTCGCAATCCCAACGACCACCACAAAAGCTCAAAGCGGAGATGAGCAAGAGAACGAAAGACCGCACACAGGCGTCGACATTGCATGATTTGCATTTTTACGAGGAGGCCGCCAAGTAAAAATTGTTGTCAGCTATAAGCAACAACCACGACAACAACAACAACAAGAACAACAATCACCACAAATGGCACCTCATAAACATTCCAAACGTTGCACAAATCGATCAACTGGGAATGCGACTATTTTACCACTGTCAAAGTCCGGAAAATTTTCTCAAAAATAATTTATGCGAATTGCAATGTGCAAGAAAACAATTATAATGAACAGCAGACGAAGGGGGATGCATATGCAAAATTGTAGCAAGAACAGGGGGTCAGTGGTGTACAGGTAGCAGGCAAAGCTTACAGAAGTAAAACCAATGCATAAGCTCGCATTCGCAGCTTTAGTGCTGCTGCTGCTGGCGTCGCAGTTGCTAACGAAAACCAGACAAACACGTTTACAGCGCTGACCGACAGCTTGGTAACTTTTGTTGCTAAGCGCGCCAAGATCAAATCAAGACAACAGCTAGCTAAAATAGTAATAATAATAATAATAACAATAAAGCACAATTGCCAGCCAAAGCATAGAGGAAACAGCTTGTTGCTGTTGCTGGCGTAGTTAATTACAATTGCAAATAAAATGCACACACACATACACATACACATGCACTCATACGAGCACGACTTAATAAGTTGCGCAACTTTTATGCAGCTGCCGGTTGCCTGTGGGCGGCAAGCGAAAGGCAACAAAAGAGCAACGATAAACACAAACACAACCACACTTTTGCCCTATAAAATTTGCATATTGAGTTTAATTGAAAAACGAAAGATGCACTGCGCCAGAGGACAGCACAAAAGGGACAGCAAATGACAAGTGCATTGTATAATTTACGGCAATTCGAGATGAAAGAGAGTGGGACACATAGAGCGAGAAAGAGCGGGGATCAATATGCAGCACAACGTATGTATGTATGTAATTTCACCAAGCGGCCAGCCAGCGAGACGCAAATGTTAATTTCGGCGCAGCAGGCGGGCGTCGGCGTCGGCATCGACGTCATTGCTGCCCTCGGCTACAGATACCGCTGCTCTTGATAATACCCGAGATAAAGAGCAGATAGAAAGAAAGAAGACGAAAAAGCTGTCGCTGTCGCTGTCGCTGCTGCGGCTGCTTCTGCTGACGCTGTGCATGTGCGCTCTGCTCTCTCCCTCGTTTGCACACCACTTAAGCACACAGCACACACAGGCGAAAAAGCTTTAAAATTGAGCAATGTAAACACAACTGTATACAAAGCGCGCAAATGAAATTGAAATCGAAATAAAAGTAAAAATGGCATATGATGTAATTCTCACATGAGGAATTTCAAGCCTATAAAAGACGCAGAAAATTATGAAGACACAGTGGTACACAGGCGTCATATCTGTGCTCGCAAACTTAGTTACCCACTGTGCAGCAAAAATTCACAGAATATAAAAACCAAAATATTATACAAATTTATAGCAAGAATACGAAGCTGACGACAATTTGGCAACGCCCTCGCTTCGGGCAGCGGGAAGTAGGGTGTGGTCGTAAATGTTGTTGTACGCTTGTAAATTGTTTAATAACATTTCATATGTTCAATTGTTATTTTTGTCTTCTTTCTCTCTCTCTCTCTCCCCCCTACTCGTTCTCTCGATTTACGCGGTTTTTGTGTTCTGTTTACGTTTTCTTGTTCTTACGCTCTTTAATCAAATAGCAAAAACAAAAATCGAAAAGGCAACACCAAAACAGGAAGAACTAGAAGAAGCACGAATTTCACAAAACTTGTTTTTTTTTTATTGTGGTTTATTCATATTCCTGTATTGGAATCAACTGGAATTTCACGACACTTTTGACAATGATTTCATTTATTCCAATTCACAATTTCCGTCAAGTTTTTGCTCAGCTTTTACATGTGCATTTATATATTATCAGTTTATTATTCGAGTTCTGTAGAAATGTTGCTAATTCTAAGAAATCTCACATGACGACAGCATTTGCATTTTTATTTAGCGTACAGTGCCCGCAAAACTGTGTTCCCACGCTCGCGCAGTGGCTTTCAAAGTGCAGGATAAGCGTAACCAAAGCCAATTGCAGACAAACAGCAACAAGAAGGGGTTGGGGGACGCATCTATGCTGTCAGCATGTGTTAGCAACATGTCGCTGGCAGCAACAAGAATTGACTACAGACAAGAAAAAGCCCGCGTTTTGCGGTTTTGTTGGCAATAAACAGAAAGAAAAATAACATAAAGAAATTGCAATTGCAAATCAGCAAAACACAAACTTGTCGTCGCTTCCGTCGCTGCGCAGTCGCGGCTGCCTACTGCTTCCCACGAGATGCCAACTTGTTTTTGTTGCTGTGCGCGTTGCCCGGCTACAAGTGCATCTCAAACTGCACCATCTGCAACTGCAACGCAACTTGTTGCCGCAACCAACAATTCATGCTCCACCTGCCCCACACTATTATGAGTCATCCTTGGGCCTCACCCTATTTCAAATGACAAATGTCACCAAATATAAAGCAGCAAAAAAACCCAAAAACTATAAACATAAAAAGTCGTTAAGAGAGGGGTCGAGCGGCATCAGCGTGCAGCGCCCACTGGCAGTGCCGCAGTGCGCCAGCGTCTAACATCAATGTTTCAATACACACACACACACACACACCCATACAGTATAAATTATGAAAATGACAACAATGAATTGCGTCTGGCAACATTTTGGGCAGCGCTGGCAACATTTTATATTTTTGGCGTGCCCGGCTAAAGTTTGGCAACATTCTGTTATATGTATGTACATCTGTACATGTGTACATATGTACATACATGCACGACGCAACGTCTCCAGTTAAGGCAACAACAACTTCCGAACGCGACCGTCCAACCAAAAAGGGAGGCTCGTTGGCGTCGGCATCATCGTCATTGCCAAAATAAAAAAAAAAAAAATAAGTAAAATAAAATGAAAAAAATTAATAAAAGCAGCAGCGCATGGGGAGTGCGTGTGTAAAGAGCAGCGCAATACGCGCCATAGGCAGTCGTCGCCGTCGACGTCGACCTTGAGCATAACAATTTATTGCTAAACGTGTGCGAATAAGCAGCATAATGAATGCTTGCGAGCGAGAGAGACACACAAACTAAGAGAGTGAGAGACAGAACGAGACGCACACGAAGAGAGACAACAGGCATCGACGGCGGCGGCGGCGGCGGCGGGCGCGTTTGTGGACGTAAAAGACGCGCCTAGCAACAGCGCGCGACGCAAGAAGCACAAGCATAGCAGAAGTACGAACAAAAAAATGTTAGTCGTCGTCACAGCCTTTGGACCATTGTTAAAGCTTTTTGTGTTATCGTTGTTGACGTTGTTGTTGTTGTTGTTGTTGTTACTGGGTGGTATTTTTGGGGTTGGGCGAATGTTGTAACTTGGCGCTAACAGTTGCCACAGCCAGACGCATAAATTTGTGCCCCCAGCGAAAGTAATATGAAAAAAATAAAACAGCTAAATATGGTAAAAGGAATGTTGAACAGCATTTTCCCACACACACACACAGATATACACATGTACATTCACACTCTTTCCCCCGTGCGCCCCTCACTCGTTGTCTGCACACAGCACGCATCGTCGCACTATTTCTGGTTAGTTTTATTTAATTGGTAATACACACAACAACAAAAACAGAAACAACACTCAAGCTTTTTCTCATAAACTTTTGCGTTCCTGTTTCGTTTTGGTTTCTACGCACTATTTTATGATTATTCGACCTTCGTTCAGTTCATTAGCATTCTTTTTTATTTCGAATTGGATTTGGTACTCGAAATAACACACGCATAGCAACAACAACAACAACAACAATAGCAGTTCGTTTAGTTCTGTTTCTTTTTTTTCGTATGCATAGCAAAAGGTGCGAAAATGCCAATAAAACAACAACAAGCAAAGGCGCCAACGAATGCTAAACACAGCTGCTGGCAGCAGCAGAAGAGGCAGAAGGGGCAATATTGTTAGTAAATAATATATGTATATGTATTACATGTATATGCATGTATTGTACACAGATATCATCATATATAACAAAGCTAGCGACACCTAGCGGCAACTGAAGATCGATAAACACTCGAAAACGAAAAAAGTTAACTGTTACACTTAATTCTTTGCTCTCCACTCTCTCTTTTGAGCGTCCCGTTAACATTACAATCTCGTCTTCCTAATTGCTAATGAAGCGTCACGCGCACACTTGCGCATAGCGACAAGCTTTTAATCTGCAGCACGCACCTGTTGTATTTATTGTTGCTGCCGCTGTTGCTGTGCGTACAAATTGAAATAAGCAAAAATTTGTTAAAATTGCGTTTGATTTGCCTTTTTGTTGCCAAGTGTCGTGCGAAACACTGCGCGTGTGTGTGTGTGTGTGTGTGTGTGTGTGCGTGTATCAAGTTGACTCTACGCTTTTCTTTCGACAAATTATTCATACACATACATACATACATATTTATGTTACGTTTTCAATTATCAACGCTGCCCAACGGCTGATATCAGCAAAAGGCGGCAACAAAACCAACAACAACCAATTCGTAGCGACTTTCGCACGTTGCGCGTTTTTTTTTTATCGTCTCACGCGCGCGACTTTTTGGCAATCACATTCACTAAAGCATACACATCCACATATGTACACGTAACAAATACAATTTCATGTCTGTCGCAGTGTGTGTGCGTGTAAGTGTATAGAGAAGTCGAGCAGCAGCAGCAGCATCAGAGCCAAAAAAATATGTTTATTGTGTGGGCGTTTTTCGCTAATAGTTGAACACACACACACACACACACACGCATAGACACACAAAACTATTTACACAAATGAAAATGGGCAGAGGCAGAGGCAGAGAAAAATACGCGCCTAGTAACAGGCACACGCGTACGTATTATACGATTTATAACTACATTTATTAATTATGAAACATTGAAGTATATTTTCAACAGTTTAATGCAAAATATCGAATAGAGTATTTAAAATCAAATCATTTGCGAATCTCTATCTAATATGTACTGCCAAGTGGCATCGATGAAGCATAATTTACGGTAATTGTGTGCCGTTATCGAAGGCAGCTTTTGATTGCTTTCATTTAATTATTTACGGAAACGGAATCCTCGCCAAAAAGACTCAAAAAGACTTTTCTACCACGTTAACTAATGCGAAGAATATGCCAAAGAGAACATGTCGCACCGTGAATACCCTTGAAGACTAGTATTTTTACTAGCATTATAAAATGGCCGTTTTCACTTCAACGATTATTTATTTATGTATGTACTGTATGCGTTTTACAGATATCTTCCTGATTATCAAATATTAATTGGTAGATACCTCTTTTCGGCACATTTCACACGGCACACAACATAACTAATATATGTACATACATTCTGCAACAGTATTCATATAAACTGACCAAATTCGCTAACGTCGGCGTCGCTGCCGCTGCCGTCTGCAATTGTGAATCTGTCGCTGCCAGTGCGTCGCGTCATAGTAAACACAAGAATGAGCGTGCGAGCGAGCGAGCGAGCGAGCGAGCGAGAGTGAAAGACCTACCTGTGCAATTTAGCCGGTAATGACGACGCCGGCGTAGACGCCGAAGCCGACGCGTCGGTTGCTGTTTGACTATCTGAGTGCGCTTGTATGCATGTTTTGTTTTGCTTTTGTTTTCGCGTTTTATTTTATTATTATGACAGATATCACGAAAAAGGTAACAATAATAATAAGTGGGGGTGCACAGGGGAAGCAATAAGAAATAAGCAAGGAGATTCCCGCCCATGTATGCATGCATGCATGTCTGTGGCTGTAGGCGTGTGCGTATGCGTGTGTGTTAGTGTATGTGTGCATCGGACTGCAGTTTGTGAATGAAAAAGCTTTTCGCGCCAAATTGTACTTGTATTTGTGTTCGAGTAAATGGTAGTAGTAGTAGTAAAAATGTAGATTTGTTACTGCGAGGGCAGCTCAGTATGTTTTCTGTTATATTTTTCATTCCAACATATATACCAGTACCAAGGAGAACGGTGCAACGGAAGGGGAAGCAAAAGCAACGGCTTTGCAAAAAGACATTGAACCCATAAACTAAAACCAAATCAGCCTGGATGAGCGGGCGCAGGGTGTGGCGGCGATGACGCCACGTGGCATGAGCGCAGACATCCTTGAAACATGGGTTGTTAGCCACAAAGGAAAAAAAGAGAGAGAGAGCGCGAGTTTAAGAGAAATGGCTTTTTGGGCGTAGCACAAACTGCGCAAGACGCCGCTTGGGGATGCTTTCCGACAATGTGCGAGAGGATGACGCCATGGGCCAGCAGGCCGAACAGCTCATCAAAACACACACACGCGCAAACGCGCACACACACACGCATAGAGAAAGCACATAATGAGCCATGAAAGCCACGCGCCATCACTTGCTGTGGGAAAGGGGGGACCACGACCTAAGGGCTTGAGAGGGCTGTGGCGCTGTGCAGTGCGTAGGCTAGAAGGCGCCAACGAAATATACAAATAATGCCTGGGGAGGGGGTAGAATTGGGTGCTGGGAAAGGAAAATCAATGAATGCTTTTTGCCCGCCCGAAAAGACAAAAAACAAACATAACAACGACACCCGGCAAAAGTGCGCTGTCGCTGCTGCGCTGCTGCTGCTGCTGCTCTCAGCGTGTGGGCGTGTGTAATGCGTGCAACAAAAGTTTACTACGTTTGCTGTTGACGTAGGCGATCGATTTTTAGGCGCGTCATCGTTCGCCCACACAGCAGCAGCAACAGCAGCAGCAGCGCAGCAGCGCAGACCAACACTAGTTGAATGTCTGGGCGAGGCAAAGGATGATGAGATTATGAAGTGTGAGCAAGGGAGGAGGGTTGAGGGTGGAGGTGAGTTCGCATTACATAATGCCGTTGATCGACAGACAGACAGTTTGTGGGAAGAGAGGATGCTTCTAGCAAATGAGAGAGAGAGTGAGGGAGCGCACCGCAAGCAATGCAATTGTGAATGCATTGGACGAGTACCGTTTATCGATGGCTCGTGGAGACTAAAATTAGAAAAAGCCAATAATAGCTTTTGTCTGTGCTTAGGGTACAAACTACAGTAATATATATATAACTGTGCAAGGGCATCGGCATTACTGAGAGTAGAACAGAAAATTACACAGTATAACAGTGGTATTGTATACCAGTAGAACAACAATAGAACAGGCTATCAGCATAATTGAGGAAAGTGTAATATTAGGACAGAGCTTTAAAGGGTTAACTCACCGGAATCGGAGGGCGTGTCCAGATTTGTCTCCATCTCGTTGCAGCGCGTATAACTGTGATCGCTTATGTGACGCATGTAGTTGCAATCGACCGAGGCAGCTGAGCCGCAGCTGGAATTGCCCATGGAGCAATCGCCATCATCTGAATCACAATCGGAACTGGTGGCATTCGTTGCCGGCGGCGACAGTGTGACAACTGATGCGGCCGCTGTTGCAGCCGCTGCCTTTGCTGCCGCCGACTGCTCCGACTGCTGATTAAGCACCTCGAGCACATCGCTGAACTGCGGAGCAGTCGAGAGCCGATACGGCAGATCGATGCGCTCCTTGCTCGTATTCTGCAGCTCCCGGCTGAGATGATCGATGGCATCCGCGCTGCTCGTTAGCGCAATATTGTTGCTGCCCATGACGCAGGCGCGCAGATCCACATTGTGACGGAATTCGGGCAATATCTCATCATCGGGCAACACAAAGCAGGCATTTGTGAGGTTGCTTGTGTTGTTGTTGTTGCTGTTGTTGCTGCTGTTATTGTTGCTGCTGTTGGTGGCGGTAGCCAAGTTGATAAGACGTTGCTGCTGCTGTTGTTGCAACAGTTGCTGCTGCTTGTGCTGTGTATTGCTCTTGCGCAACAGCGAAGTCCCTGGCGGTATATACGGTTCAATGTGGAGCACTCGACTTGGTATCGAAATTGTTGGTGTTGCTGTTGTTGTTGCTGCTGTTGTTGCTGCTGCTGCTGTCGCTTTGCCAGTTGACCTGCAACTGTTGCTGTTGCTGCTTCCGTTGCTTTTTCTACTACTGCTGCTGTTGTTGTCACCTCTGCAGCCACTTTCCTGATCCGCTTGCTCCTCCTCCTCCTCCTCCTCCGGTTCGCGTTTGATTAGCAGCGTGTTGCCTGTAACAAAGGCTGGCGGCACAGCGCTGCTCTCGCTATAACTGGACGCAGCCGAATTGCTGTTGTTGTTGTTGTTGTTGCTGTGTTTGTTGTTGAGGATGCTGCCGCTGTTGCCAATGCAATTGGCCATGTTGCTGGCGAACACGGACCACATGCAGTCCACATTGCGTATCTCGGGCTTTATGTCCAAGTCGAAATCGAAATCGTCGTGGTGCGAGATGCTCATCGAATGCGTCCGATTGGCCGCGATTCTCTCCACATCGTTCTGTATGCTGGGCAGCCTGTCCACCAGATCGTTCAAATTGGGCATGCCGCAGTCAAGTAGGTCATTCAATTCGATGTCGTCAAGGGTAGGGCAATCGTCATAGTCGTAGTCGCAGCCCGTGATAATGCCCCCATTGCAAACGGTCGTCATCTTTCGACTGTTATATTTATTAATCTTGTCCTGAGTGAGAAGTGGGGTTCCTTATATAGCACAGTTTCAGCTGAAAACTGGTTAAGCGAAGAGAAACAACAGAAATATTGAAAATAGGCGTTGGAAAATATTCTACATAAAACTAGTGTTTCATGCTCATTTCGATCTTAAACATTTACTAGACTAGTGGATACCCTGTACCCAAACAGTCGTAAGTTCTCAATCTACCCATTACACATACATATTATGTACCTAGACTGTGGGAATATTTTAACTGGTGGAACATACGAGTGTTCCAGAAATTAGAATCCATTAGAGACGCCTCGATTTGAAAATACACGAACTGAATTGCTTTTTAAGATCGTCTAAATATTGTGAATTGTATTTAAATTTTAATCTTTTTAATATTTTTATAATATACATATTTCATTTTCTTCTAATATTTTATTCTGCAGAATTTATTTAATTTTATATTTATATTAAACGAAAGAAGTTAATTTTTGTATTGGTATTAAAATTCTAGTATTTTCTTATTAAACACACACGCAAAATTTTCGATTTCCTTTCTCCTTTGCCTAATTATTCATTTAATTTTCTTCGATTTGTTCTTCAGCCTCATCCTTGCGAAATACACACATACATAGGCGCTGCAAGTGCGTATTACACTTATGATTTACGAAGTCGCCATCTTGAAAGCACGAAGAAAAGAAACAGGACACACAACATAACATAGAAAGAACGTTGTAAAAATTGCTGTCAATCTTGAATTTCATTTTCACTACGCAAACAGTCGCTCCCTTTGCCGCTGGCGCAGCTGCTGACGTCGACAGCAGTTCAGAGAAGTTATCAGAGCAATGCGAGCAGCTTTTAATTATAAATAAATTGTTTGATTTTATTTGATTTCCGATCCAAATGACTTGGCAACACGCGGGCATTTTGTCGTTTTGTCTCAAATATTTTACTCGCGCACACACACACGCACATGCGCCACTCGCAATAACAGTTAACTGATAAAAGCTGATCTCTTCGACGCATCGGATCCATCTCTCTCTCTCTCTTTCGCGTGCTTGCTCTATTATTTGCACGACACTTTTGCATGTAAAACGAACAAAAAACGTTACACGTTACACGATTATCGCTGGCGCTCTTTCCTCTTCCCTCTGCCGGCACTTGCACACAACTGACCAAAACGGTAAACTACAAAATATTGACGCGTCGCCCCGACGTCTGTGCCTCTTGCCTCTTCCGTAGACGCACGCAAGAAAGCGAAAACGAAGGATACAGCAAACTTAAAGAAATGCCGGCATATTTGTCGCCTGTGTGCGTGCATTTGTGTGCGTATGTTGTGTATGGCAGCATTCAAGAGTACAAAACACGAAAAAGGCTTTAAGTATGCGTCAATGTGTGTCTGCTGTGCGACTGTATGTGTTTCTCAGTCGTGCTCTCGACTTGCTTCTTACTATTTTTCTTCTATTGCTTCTAATTGCAATATGCATGCACATACCTACATACATATGTACATTTCGTATTTCGTTTCGTACAATTTTACTTATTTCGTTTTTCTAGTTTTATTCTTAAAATTTCTTAAACGGAACTTACCTTAACTGCGTATATGTCCCGTAAAGGAAATTAAATATTTAATCCAGATTTGTAACTGTTGCTTGTTAAATGCTGCTTCCGCTTCTGCTTTTTTTTTTGCACACTTGAAATTGTAACAGAACAGCATAAAAAAAAAGACACCCGAAAAAAAATTATAACAGTGTACACGAAGCTCACTGCTAGCAAGAACAAAAAAAATATTCACACTAAAACTTTTACGTCGAGCCGCCGCGTAGAGTAATGTTTTCTCTTCTTTTTGAAGCTTCTTCTATTATGCTTGCAGCAGCGAAGAAGCTGCATCTATTGCTCTCCTCCGTCTTTCCTTTTGCACTGCTGTATTTGACACACACACTCGCACAACGAAGCCACTCGCAATTAGAGCTAACAATTGTCTCAACTTGTAGCGGTATTTAATTCTGCTGCGTTACTTTATTATTTTTTTTTTCGTAACTTCACATTCACTTATTCTGAGCAGAGAAACTTTGCTCGAAGACTTTCGGCTGATGTGCCGAGTTAGTCGTAAGAATTGAAAGAATTTTGAGAAATGTCTAGAATTTTGTATTTCTGCTTATTTTTAGTGGCGTGTCCGATTTAAAGAAATATTTTATTTTTTGCACTTGTAATTGATTTTTGGTACTCTCTATTTTTTTTTAAATTAGTCCGACCGGAATTTTGTGGTTTCTGCTTATTTTTTTGGTAACTATAATTGTATTGTTGTCGTCTTTGCCTAGTTATGAAATTTCAGATTATTTCATATTAATTTAATTTGATTTGTTTTTTATTTTTTTGTTGGGCGGGAAACAGCCAAAACCTACAAAGACGAAGAGCCAACTACGCGCCGCACGTTCATCCGTGCCGGAGTCACAAATAAGAGTGTTCAGAATTTAAAGCAGATAACTCAAACTTACACAAATCGGCGAGCTCGATGTTGTGCCAGCACTATCAGCTGCTGTATTTCTCTCCGAGCGTGGTGAGATGGTGAGCTTAGCGACGAGCGCTAGACATTGAGTAGAAATCGTTTAGTGTGAGTTGTGGTGTATTATTGTGTTTGGCTGCTTGTTATACGAATTGTGACTTGGCTGACTCAATGTAGATTTCATTAAACAGCGTAACCAAAAAGCTTCTAAATAGCTCACGTGTTTCGCTCTCAGTTTAGCTGGCCCTCTCTGTTTATTTACCTTTGTTTTTGGGCCCTGCCGGCCGGCCGGTCGGCCTGGCCAGGTTTTGAGTACAATTTTTATGGAGAGCTAGCGAGAGCGTGAGCCAGAGCGTGAGCGTGAGCATGTGTCTGTGTGTGCGTCTATATGCGGGCATGTATTGGCCTCTTGTTTGTTTTGAGTGAAATCGACGACGTCTGAATTTTGTTTACAAAACAAAATGCGTTTTCTTGTTGTGATTGTAACGAAAATAAACAATAACAATTAGGTGAAATGTGCATATGCAAATGCATGTGCGGGCGAATTTCTGCTATAATTTAATGTGCACATAATATGTTTGTGCGTGTGTGTGCCCACTTGTATGCATGTGTATTAAATCCACACACATGCATATGTACATCTATGATGCATGTAGGTGCTTATGGCGTATTACCGCTGCGTGCGTGCGTGCGTGCGTGCATATGCACACATATATGCAGACACGTGTAATTTAAGCTCCTTAACGCTCCCCACCCTCCCCCCAATTCTAGCCAGCAGTTGACAACTCCAATTTCAGTTTTAGTTTGTCAAGTTGATTGAACCCATGAACTTTGTGCGGCAGCTGAAAGCAAAACCGCAACTAAAACACAACAAAAGCAAACAGAAACAGAAGCAGAAGCAGACGCAGCGAAAAGTGAATAACAAAATAAAAAAGAAGAAACAACAACTTTATACGATACCTTGAGGTAGGTTTCATATCTAATTAAATTATGGGCACCAAATGTGCAAGAAGAAGAAGAAGAAGCTCTGCTCTGACAGGCTCGACTAGGAGATATCTTATATATTCATCTATGCAATAGGCAACACACACATACATACTATATGTATGGGAAAAGGAAAATTATTTTTTGTGAGGGATACACTGGCTGTATAAGCTAAGGGAGAAGATTCTCCTACAATCGATATATATCGATTTGTGGGAAACGGAATAAAAACGGAATTAACGATATCTAAATCTTATTTTTCGAGAATTTAATTGGTGGTATGTTCTGGTAGATACTTTTATTAAAAAAATAAATAAAAAATGAAATTCATATATGTATAGATCACATACATTGTATATGTCAAAAAAAGTTCGGGGAAGAGTGGAGTAGTCAACATGCAGGATCAGTTCCAGTTTCAGTTCCAGATTCATCATAGGCCCCGTAAGCTTTGAGTGCCATTCACGTTCAATTGATTTATGAAACGGAGCCATATCATATAGAATATATTTTAATATTTTCATTTAAAAAAAATCAAACTTTAACCGCTTGTAGCTCTATAATAGGGTAGACCGTTGCTTACGAGCTTTTGTATATATTTTGGACTCAAACTTGAAGAATAAAGAAAGATAAAGTCTATGTTTGTACAGTGAACACACTCTTGAACGGACAGCGACGAGTAATTTTAGTCCGCTTAAAAGATGTGTCCGCCTAATAGAGATAATGGGTATGGAGGATGTGGCCTGATTTATAATGGCTTGAGGCAAAATGTTCGCCCAAGAGGGGTGTCCGTCCATGAGGAGTTTCCATTGGGATAGTGCCATAGAACTGATTATTTCGACTATAGTCGTATATTCATATATATTCGTATATCTGAATAGTCCGAGTTACATTGACATATGTTCTGCCAGCTTTTAGATGATGGATAAGCTTGCACAGAACTACTTGACTCTGATGTTAATGCTGATCAAGACTATATATGTACATATGTATATGTACTTTATCTTTAGAAGACTAAAATACCATCTGCAAAAATTTTCAATCCTAAAATGTATTTGCTTATAATTTGTATCGATAAAGGTTTCAAGACAGGTTTCAACTTTTAAATTGTGAAATTAATTGCAGCTGTATTAAAAATATTTCAGTAATTTACCTATTATTATTTAAAAATTATTATTTAACATAATATTTTATCTCGTTTCCTAGTTTCGGTTCCAAACTATGTTGCCAAGTCGATGTAACTCTGGTGAGGGTATGACAGCCAATCGCGTCACCACAAGAAAGTTTTCCGAAACTTAAGACACTAATACATACACTTGCCAGCACACAGATACGACACAGGACTAGTTTAGAACCTTCATCAAAGTGGCCGTAATTTGATAAGGACACGCCCCAAACCCAAATCGGTAACTGCGCAGTGCGGCAAAAACTGCAGACAAGACATAGAGGGGCTTGCCTTCAAGGGTTAAACTGGAAAATGGACTCCAAAATAACCCAACATCATTTGTATTTGCTTTCAAGTTTGGGTAAAACTCACCTGACTGTCTCCCTCATTTTAATATTATAGAAAACTTAGCCATTGTTTTAATTGAAATCGATAGTAATAAAGTCTTTAATATCCTGTTTTATGGAGGTTAACATCAAATTTTGATTAGGCTTAAAGTTTTTCTCTCCCTGGACTCGGTTCTACAGATAATGATTCTTCCGATTTGTGCACGTATAAACTGTTAATTCTGGAAAAACATTTTCAACAATTCCCCATCCAAATCATCGGTAATATTGAAGAGATTTCGATGATAGTTTGCTGTTGTACAAAAGTGTAATACTTCGACTTTTGTAGTTATCTTTTCACTTTCTCATTAAATGCACAGTTGGGGTAATCCTTTAGTATATTTAGTTAAATCTTGTATTTATTTAACAAAAATTAATATATTTATCCCTACATTGACTTTGAAGGCTATTCAAACTCTCCGCTGATCACATCTTCGGTATATTTCAAATTGGGTTGTACGAAAATTACCCTTCAATTATTTCATTTTTGCTTGGACCAGATTATATAGAAATCGGATGGCTATGAGCGACCTTTGTTGGTAGGAAGATAAAAGTGATGATATAAATTATGACGTAATGCTTTGGGCTTACGAATGCCACATTTAAGTATTGAAAAATTCAAATTGATGGTTAGTACAGAGTACCTCCTAGTCGACTAGAGCCCTCATACTTGTTATGATTTAAGTTTCTAAAAACAACAAAAACAAACTTTGGTTTGCCTGCGTGATTACGCATATACACACATGCATTTTGATACAATTGCATGCATACACACACATATGCATGCACGAGTGTGTGTGCGTGTGCTTTGCATCGATTTGCCCGTTATTTTGGTCAAAATTCGTTTTCGCAGTCGATTTATTTCGTATTCGATTTCGTTGATTTTGCATTTTGCACTTTCGGCGCGTGCATTTTGTTGTTGTTGCTCTTGCTGTTGCTGTTGTTGTTGATGTTGTTGTTGTTGTATTTGTTGCTGTTGCTGTTGTTGTTGGCCCTTGGCTCTTTTCTATGGCAATTCCTGCTTCGTGTACGTTACGTACACACATATTTATATGTACATATTTTGTTTTGTTTTTGAATTCGCAACGAATGCGCGACGCCGACGCCGACGCAAACAGAATTGTAGAAGAAGCTTTCGTTGCCGCGCATTTTGCCTATGTCAATTTTTTTTTTATTTTCCCTTTGTACACTTTCCATTTAGTTTTAGTTGTACTGCGCTGCACTATAATATTTGCAATGTTGTTGTTGCTTTTGTTGGTATTTTCCACAATTATTTGCGCGTGTGTAAAATTTTTTGCTCGTTCTGCTTGCTGTTGCTGCTGCTGCTGCTGCTGTTGTTGTTGTTGTTGTTGTTGTTGCGTCTTTGCCATTTGCCATAGTACAAAATGCTACGCCATTGCGGCGAAAGCCAACTGCGTAAATAAAGGCAACAAGTGTGGCCCTCAGTCGGCGTCAGGCAGCGTGAGGCAGCGCAGTCGGCGTTACAGTTGTTAGTTGTTGTTGTGCTTATGTTAGTAATGCTTCAATGCAAAATTATCTAATTTTAATGCTAATTCTAAAAAGTCATTAATATCGCAATATTAATTGGTTTTCATCTTTCATATGATTGCGCAATTCGTAACGGCGCATCAATAAACATTCTCTCACAAGTGTGCATTATCCAAGAATCGCACAAGCTTTTACCGCAAAGGCGCCAGCCCGACCTCTCCCTCCCCTGCGCCCCCTTTCCACTTTCTTAAGCTTGCTGCATATTTAACGGCTAACACGTGTGGCTACATTGTAATCGGACATGCAGGGCGGGCGTCTAACGTGACAGGGAGGTTGGGCGGCTACGACATGCCGTTACAGTTTACAGTTGATAAGAAGACGTCGCCATCGTTGTTGTTGTTCCTTTTGCTATTTTGTTTGGCAGGTGTTGCTGTAATTGCAATTTTAATGCGTCGCAGCAACAATTGTGATGGAGCCAACAGAGTTGCCAATACTTTCAAATATGTATATACATCAATCAACATATTATGTGCATATGTAAATGACATCTATATATGCATGTACTATATACATATTTAGATACATATATGAAATCTATGTGTGTACATATATACATACATACATATACATATATAAGATTATGTCCCGACTGACTGACTGATTGGTGTTCAAGGCTTAGTTTCTAGATACATTTTGAAGCCCAAGTGCACAAAAGATGGGATTTTCAGGTAAGTGGGGCCTAAAGTTTACTATTTTTATTGGCTTCGAACTCACTTTCAAAGCATGGCCAAAAAGTCGCCGAATAATGTTAAAAATTTAAGGAAATGCAACTGGGCTCGGGCATAGCCGGGTAATACAGAGAATATGTACATACATACATATGTAATACATGCTTCTATTTCCAATTTTTCAATTGCCGATAATCAAAGCTACACGTAAAAA